ATCGCAAGCCCACTGGTTTCTCCAACTCATCGGGTATATGTTATGGTACCGATTTGAATCGTAATTTTGGCTACAATGGGTGCATTGTCGGCATGGAATTTCAATGAGCCCTGTGATCATTGGTATGGTGGCTCCCAACCGGACTCGGAACCAGAAGTTATTAATATGCAGAAATTTATTAATTCCTTCCCCGATGATTACATTAAAATGTATGTACCCTTCCATTCGTATGGTAATTTGGTTTTACTCCCCTATGGCCATACAAGTGATATCTTTCCACCCAACTATGATCAAATGATGCGAATTGCTAAGGCTTTTGCGGATGCGGCTAAAGTGAAATATGGCACCGTATTCAAATATGGCTCGACGGGAACAATTAATAGTAAGTATGATTCTAAAGTTTTGTTGTTTTATTCTAAATATCATATGAACACATCGGGCATTACAGAAAATAAATGTAGTTGAAACCTTGGCATCGATTGCTATTAAATTTGAAAATTGCTCGTTTTATTGTCGATACCATTTGTGCTTATGTATATCTTCATTAATTTTTCTTTTCCTTTTTTCCAGTATCTGGTTATGTGTCTGGAGCATCCAAAGATTGGGCATATGGTGTCAAGAAAATCCCCTATACTGGTACCATTGAATTGCGCGATTATGGTGAATATGGATTCTTCCTGCCGCCCAATCAAATCAAAGAAGTGTGCGAGGAGGTTACAGATGGTCTTATTGCAATGGTTGCAGCCGCTGAAAAAGAAGAACTATTTAGGAATTCTGGTCCAAAGAATATTGTTTCTATTGTCAATGTTATGATGTTATTATTTTTGTTAAAATGTCTTACCAAATATTTATTGAATTGAAGAGAAAATATTATGTATTTGATTTAAAAATTCACACTTGCAGCTGTATTGATTGATAAAAGTAGTACACGGTGTTTGCGTTAGAGGAATGTTAACATTATACATTAAATCATAGTTTAGATCAGCCGTGTGGAACCCTACACCACGTGGTGTATATATTTAAAATTTCTTAATAAAGTCTGGACCTTTATATGGATACTATGTTATTGCAAAATGGTGTCCTAAATGCTTCTAGAAACTAAAAAAAAAATAAAATAAGGTGGGTCCCTCGTGATACGGACACAATGTCTATATGTGTCAAACATTTGAATATAACTTTTTATATCAACTGATGTGAAAAAATATTCACCTTTTATGCTCCAGAATCCGAATTGCAGACACATTTTGGGATAATCCAGCTAAAACCATCAAAATATCGAAATGGGGGCTATGAAACATTCTCTAAAAAATAATTCAATAATTTTTAATCAACATAAAACAATCAGATGAACAGACCAGAAACATATTTTTTGCCCTGGCCATGACATTTTAATGCCTGCTAGGAGATTTTAATGCAAAAATCGGAAGGAAAAATATTTTTGGCCCCACCATCGGAAAATTCAGACTCCATGAAGAAACATTAGACAACGGCATGAGGCCGATTGATTTCGCGGCAGCAAAGAAATGGTACTTAGCAGCACCAGATTCAAGCATCTCGATATACACAAGGCCACTTGGATTTCTTCCGAACAAGCAACGAGAAATCAAATAGATCGTGTTGTGTTTTAGACGTTCAATCAATCCGAGGAGCCAATATCGATTGTAGCAGCCAAGGTTCGCACTCGTTTTAATGTAACAGCAAAGGTGCGATCTAATATAACACGGAAAGTCGACGCCGAAAAGCTGCAAACTCATCAGATAACAGAATCCTACTCCGTTCAACTTACCCACATGCTAGGCAAAATCAGTCCTTGTTCCGATAATATCAACACTTGTGTACCTAAGACCACCACCAAGAAACCATCTGTGAACGTCAATGTCATTATTAGACCATACAAATGCGCCTTTAAACCCGACAAATCCACCATAAACCAGATTTTCACACTGCGCCAAATTCTGGAAGAAGACCCATGAAAAATACATAGACACATTCCACCTTTTGATCGACTACAAAGCCGCATTCGAAAGCCCAATCCGCTCAGTGGTGTTTAAAGCCATGTCTGTGTTTGGCATTCCTGCAAAATTAATACGGCTATGCAGGATAACTTTACGTGGCAAAAGATTAGTAGCAAAAGTCGAAAGGGACAACTCGGAGCCCTTCAATACCGAACGAAGATTCAGACAAGGTGACAATTTGTAGTGTGACCTTTTTAACATCCTGCTGGAAAAGGTCATGCGAGATGCAAATGTGAACAGAACTCGCCTACGTCGATGACATCGACATAATGAGTCGAACATTGCGAGCGGTAACAGCCACCTTTGAACGTATTGAAAAGGAATCTGCCTAAGTGGACCTGGCAGTAAATGTCGAGAATCGGACCAAGTGTGGGGCTTAAAAAATTACAGCTTCGAGGTAGTCAAACTATAATACACACCAAATACAAATTTCAGCATTTTTTTAATGGAGATTTTTCCTAAATACGCCAAAAAGTGGACCGATATTGACGACGCATAAATGGGTGGAACATCCCCAAAATACTCCAATTTAGTGGGTACAGTGCTATGAGGTCATCACCAATGTACATCGGTTTTAATTTGGGTGGTTCGGTTCGGAAGCTGCTGGTTCAATATGAAAATTGTCTAATTAAGGTGCTGTGCCTATTCTCAAAAGGAACCCTGTTTCTATCTCCATTCCTTTTGCCTGTTATAAACATATGCACAAAGACGTAATAACCTGTACCACAGTGTGTTGAAAGGTATAAATATAAGTACTAAAAATATTTGTATTCTGCAAGATTTGTCAAACGTGCAAAAGTTACTGCATTGGAGTTGATTTCGTTTTCTTTTTTATTCAAAACTGAAAAGTTAAACTTTTATGCTGCGTACAAAATACTGAATACAAACAACAAGAATTTTTCAATTTGCTTTTTTATTTTTATGACGTGGAAGGAGTGTAAAGTGCAAAATCCACTCGCTTCACTGCCCATCTGTTGAAGTAGGCCCTAATCTGTAGGGATTGTGTGCAATCAGAATAATTTCTTACTTCGAATTGTTTTTTTTTTTTTATTTTTATCAAAACAGTCTATTTTATTATTAACTGTTTTGAATTTTGTATTAGTTTTTATCGTCCATATCGTAAAGATATTTTTTGGCACAATTAATTATGTGAAATATCTTAAGAGGAGATGGCAATAAATCGGATTACGTAATACTTTAACAGCCTCTAATGTTCAATAGTTTGATAACAATCGGTCAGACGTTGCGTCTGTGGTGTATCATTAACATAAAATTATATATTTACTAGCATAAGCCCGCTTCGTCGTTAGCGGGTCTTTCAAAAAAGAAAATATTTAAAATAAATAAACATTGATTTAGCTACACAATATATATTAATATCGATTATGCATTGCTAAGTATGTGCTAACAATTATCCATATCACACTTAACAATTATCCGCATTTCTTTCGAACATAGGCTTAAGAAACGTTGGTGCTCGAATCGTAATATATCGAGAACGATTTACTTATTTTCATTTATTTCTCAAATGCAACGGTATTAATGTTCAAAATTTCTCATCACACCATATTATCCCATTTAAAATCAGATTTGTCTTCTTATTTTATTTTAATATTTTCTGAAAGTGCACTATTTTCTCCAATGCAACGTTTTTTAACTTATTTGTTCCTTTCGGTAATTTATTAGTAATGTATTACGTTTTTTGTACTTGTGTACCATTATAACGAATTTGTAATATAACATGTTATACAGTACATAATTTATTATACAGAGTTCTCCCATTATAGGGAATATTGCAGAAATTTAGTATTTTTAATACTGTGTGTTGAAAAATCCTTATTAGAGAAATTGTTGGTATATCCTCTACATAAAGATCCCTCTCATTTTTCATTCCATCGGAATTCGCGGCAGTGGTGTTGGAATCATCATTAGAAATAAATAACAGTGCTTTTATGGTCGAAATCTTAGAAACATTTGCGTTTAAAAGTGTAAGCAATTTAATACTTGTGTTGTTCAGTGCCTTGGTTAATTTATTTGTACAGTACACAAAATCACTCGCTGTAGTATAGAGGTATGTAGGGTTGGAAACTATATTTCATGTAACTGTCATAATTTGTAGTTTAGATTTTCGAAAAATATGTCCATAAAACATTATTTGTCATAGTTACATATAAATACTAAAAATAGGAAATCTGTCTATACTTTTCCGATGTAAAATATACGCATTATATTTAATTTGTTATAGCTGTTATACATACAAACTGCCAGCACTTTATCTGTACCCGTTCTGTCGTACACAATATTTGGAATCGTAAGTACTAATTTCAAACAAAACTGCGAAAACTTTGCTTTTCATATAAAATGCTGTATACCAAATTCTATATCCACCTGTACCGCCGTATACAATGTGTTGTACTTTTAAAAATTATTTTTGGAAAATATTTACATATGTATAAATGTTTATCGTCATAGTTCCAGATAAGTATTTAATAACAGGTTGCTATCGCTTTCATGCCCAATATTTAGGACTTGTTGGTACCTTTAAGCACAATTTACCAACATTTTAACGTATCCTATTTTGTTTATAATAGACAAAGCTACATACCGAATATCCGAATTATACTTTTTGCCGTTCCCACACAGTGGTACTTTTGTACCATTTAGTACGAATTCCCTTATCACTCGCCTATGTACTAACACTAAATATTAAGATTCGTTTGGGCGTTGATGATCAGTCAGTCACTTACAACGAAATTATATATAGGCTCTTATATTAGGAAATGCCAATTTCTATCCTATTAACTTGTTTCTATCCTATTATATTTTTATTTTAGAAGCCACATACACGAATTCCAAACTCTATCACTTCTGATCGCTCAATACCCATGTAAAATTTTTAGTAGTTCCAGGCCTTTTAGAACCCATTTAATAAGAAACTTCACTACTACACTATTTTCTTTGCGTACAAACTTTTCCCACTTTTAGTACAAATACTTAGTATATTTCTCTTTCTTACCATTTACTATGGTACAGAATTTAGTACTTATTTTGAAAAATACATATGCATATCATTATATGTGAAATAATTAAGGAACATACTATGTTTCAGATTTTAATTTATACCGTTTCAGTTGTCATTTAATATTTAGTACTAATTAAAAAAAATATGCATGGCGAAGTATTTGTAATAGTTAAATCAACAACGTTTCAGATTTCTATTTTTGTTTGTAATTTTTATTTAGTACTTTTTATCACCACATTACTACTAATTTCTAATAGTAAAAGCTAGAGTAACTTCGGGTAATGTGGACCACCATTTTCTTTTTTTTATATTGTGGGCGTAACAAAGGTAAAAAATAAAAACAAATTGTTTTCACAACATGGTAGATTTGTTGGCTAATTATATTCCAGGTCAAAAATTATATATATTTGTCAATAAAAATGTTATTGCATTATATTTCAAAAAACTCTAAACTGCAAATAAAAATAACTTGGCGGGTAATGTGGACCAGTATGTATGGGTAATGAGGATCAGTATGTTAAAGGTAGGTTGTGGATTAATTGTGATAAATATCAATTTATTGCACTCTTGGGTAACAATGAATGCAAAAATATATGGGTCCATGTTTTGGAATAGCCCCCTTTTAGGGGTACCACCACATTTGCGGTATTTTGAAGTTCCTTGCTTCATTATCCAACCGAGGCACCTATAATTTCGAATATCGAGTTTTCAGAGGATAGAATACCTCCTCGCATATTAAATGCGTCGTTGTTTCGAGCTCGTCCTCATGAAAATGTC